TCCTCACAATTCACCCTCTCACCCAGCTTTGTGTTCTGATGGTTTATGTGCTGATGACTGTCTCCAGGTCCTCCTCTATTCCACTCATTTAACTAAGCAAGTTATTGAAACTTTGCCTAGGTTAAAAGGCAGCATCACTTTAGCAATAAGTCATGACTGCCTTGCACACACAACTAGTGGCATTCATATGTTGATGAGGATTGGAAGAAAAGTGACAATGAATGATTGCAGAATTTCAAGCTCTAAACAATCAAGAGTTATCTCATAAAATTAATTTTAGCTGAGATAAGTCAATGATGGTGTGAATTGTAATGGTATGTGAAAAGAATAGGTTTGGTGAGACAAACAATCATTATTTCATGAACAGTGTATTACTTAAATGGAAAAAAACTGCAAGACAAAAGGGCTTGGAGGTGCTTATGCACAAAACATAAAGCTAGCACATGGGTACAGCAAGTAATCAGTGCGACCACATCTGGAATACTGCGAGCAATTTTGATCCCCTTATTTAAGGAAAAATTTTATTTCATTGGGGACAGTTCAGAGAAAGTTCAGTAGGATTATTCTTGCTACAGAAGGATTGTCTTATAAGCAAAGGTTAAACAGCATGGTATTATACTCATTGGAATTTAGAAGAATGAGAGTTGATCTCATTGAAACATACAGGACTCTTAAGGGGCTAGACTGGGTAAATGCCGAAAAGATGCTTCCCCTCGTGAGAAAGTTTAATATCAGAGGGCTTGGTCCCATAGTTATGGAGCACAAATTTAAGACTGAGGTGAAAAGGATTTTTTTCTTTCAAAAGGTTGAGTCTTTGGAGCTCCTTGTGTATATTTAAGGCTGAGGTAGATTCTTGATCAGTAGGTAATCAAGGGTCATGGGCACAGGGCAGGAAAGTGGGCGTGATGTATGCTGGATCAGCTATGATCATATTGAATGGCAGAGCAAATTCAAAGGGCTAACGGTCTGCTCCTATTTCAAATTGTTTTATGGCTTAGTCATCCTACAAATTGAACTTTCAAGTACAAATTAATTCTGTAGAAGAAAGGTTTAGATTTAGATAAAATATTATAACATTTTATGCTGCTCACCTGGTAACCACATTTCAGACACATCCAAATATTTGGTGAAACGTCACGCTTTTCATCATGTACTTTCAAACTTCTGACACACTCTGTGCAAACTGACCAGTGGTTTTGAGTAACTGCCTTCTTCACTTGGATCAGATCCACTGCTCTTCCAATATGCTGGCAGGTAGAACCTTAAAACATAGACAAATATATGGAATTTAGAAAACACAAAAATCTACTTTGTATCTAAATTTTGCTTTGATTTAGTTTATAGCAAGTTGGAATATGCTTACATAATACAAACCCTAAATGGTATACATTACACCTGCAGTGCATTGGCAAGTTCCTTTGTAATAATTCAAACTGTTGCTTAAAAGACAACTGCAGTAGTAATCAAACATTTCATTTCAGCTTCAACTTACATTCTGCATTTGTAGTATAACAAATCACACAAGACGACATTTGGTTCTCCACAGGAAAAGATGCAGATCTGTTTCACTACAATGCAAATGCCAAATCATTTATGGATCACTTATGCACATGATGGAGCCAATGTTTAAATTATTCTTATTAATATGTATATATTTTCATATGTACATATGCTCTGATTTTAAATTATAAATCCACCATTAACAAGACAATAGCACAAAGAACAGCCCTCCCCTTCACACAATCAAAATTTGAAAACAACAATCTACTGAGTAAAACATAGCAGAGAAACAACCAAGTTTAATGGATGTAAAAGTACAGAAGACAAGGACTAGAAATGGCCAGTTTAGACAACACACATTAGCTGCACTAAATTTCTAACTAGACAATGGGCAATAGTAAAAATGACGCACATTTTAGTGGTGCAGTTGTAAAGCAGACAAAAATTGCACCCAAGACTGGTATGTCCTTCAAATATATAGACAGTGGTACAAGTACACTAAACAACACTGAAACTAACTTTGTGATATCAAAATGTTATATAAGCAGTTTAACTGTAAAAACAGTGCTGGTTTAAAACTAATCCTGACTACTGATGCAAATCTAACTTGATGACAGCGTGGTCACAAATGGACCTTTTAATGCATATTTCATCCTGCACATTGCATTACGAAAGACTTATTAAATCAACATACAGGAGGAAGAGGTCAATTCTGTGGAAAGACAGAAGTCAATGATACAATTTTCACTTGCTTATAAGCAACTCATGTCAATTTTCTATCACAGATGCTGGTTGATCCGCTACGTATTTTGAACACTCTCTGCTTGTATTTTAAATTCAGTTACTTCAAAGTAACAATAAACAAACAACCATAAGAACGTCATACTTTTAGTATCACATCAGCTACAAGCTTGAATAGAAAATTTTAAAGTCCTGCAGTTCTTTAAACAGCACACCTAAATCAGTAATGTTAAAACCTAAAGTTTTACAGAACAACTGAGACATTACAAGGGATTAATGCACCAAGTTTACTGCAATGTTACAATTTAAAATGTGCATTAGTACATGGGAGAGGCTTACTCTCAAAGTACGGATTGCTCAGAGGAAGAACAATTTAGCAAGATTTGTAAGTTGTCTTTAAAAAAGACTTCAGTAGTGCTCATGATGAGTATTCAATTGTAATTTGTACTGGTTTTGTCTTTTATTCAATTGTACACAATAATCTTCCCAACCATGAAAAATATCACTAAATAAAAATAAAAACTGTCTTACCTGCGACTTCATCAGAAGAATCATCATCTTGATACCTCTCAGGCCTTCTGCACTTTTTCGTCATTTCGCCATTACATCGGGAAGATGGGTCTTTTACCCTCATCTGTCACTGATAATTTAATATGCCACATGAATAGCTTCACAACAAAGCACAGGTACAAGAAACTGAACACAGAGTCAGTGAATAAATTTTTAAATTAAAAACTAAGACCCAGAATGCAGGGCTGTTTAAAGTTTAAAAGAATGGGCTTGAGATCACAGCTTTTTCAGAACATCAGAGCAAAATAACTTGAGGGCAAGGACAAAGATTATTCTTTTACAATGCTCTGTGATAGCAGTCCCACTTAACATCCAAGTATGGCTATAGTACAAGAACGTAAAGAAACACAGTTTGTTTGAATTCAATGCAATTATTTGACAACACTTGCAAAACTGATCCATCACATAAAGTAGAATCATACAATTCCACCTCAGAAAAGTATGTTTAACCCCATTATCATAAACGAATAAGTACAGATAAAACAATTAGATACTTTATCATAAATAAAAACAAAAAATGCAATTGTTGCTCAAAGGTTGTCCAGCGCCTTTAGGACCGGAACTGACAATTACTACAGGCTTGCAATCGCTGAACGTGTCAATTGCAGGCAAATTTAGTGAAGCCATATGAATGGCAAGAGGAAAAATTATTACATGACCAATACCAAAAGCTAAAGGTGTCTCTTTTTTCATGTTGCAATGCTTACTTTAAGCATATTTTTGTTTATCCCAAATCCCATGATTTATCAGTTTTACATTGTATATCAAGAAATAAAAAAATCGGAAGAATCAGTAAAAATCAGATAGCTCCAACTAGTTCTGGAGATGCTTAAATTTTGGGCTTCTACTTTCCCCCAATATGTAAACTAACCGTTTTGGTATCATTAGATTTAGAAATTGATTCAATTGAGTATTTTTTCCGAACCTAAATTGGTATGGACTGGTTTAATAAACGTATTCCTCAAGCTTTAAGAAATTCAAGGGACTTGTAACTATGGCAACTTGCATCCAAAGTTTGAAAGTTTGTTGCATTATTTTTAAATCCCCAAGAAATCGTCGTAGTTGATATCTAGCACGTTTTTGTTTTGCAAAGTTTTATCACAGAGTTAGTTTTGCAAAAAAAGTTAGCTACAATTTGTAAAAGTCCCGTCATCGTGACGCGCTTTTATAACAATCCCCTCCGCGCAAAATGAAGTTTCCATATAATATCAATTTGCAGTTTTAGCAGCAGTGCTGGAGATGATAGCACCTTAATAGTGGAGGTGCCCCGGGACACAAAACTAAACGTAATTGCAAACCCCCAAACCAACCATATTTCAAGTTATGGTGCTTAAAAAAAAGGACTGCATCCAAATAGCACTCAATCAGTGTAAATGGTGCACACAAAACATGGTTAAGATTTAACACAGTATAGAGCTGGAGGAGCACAGCAGGCCAGGCAGCATCACAGGAGCAGATAAGTTGACGTTTCGGGTCAGGACCCTTCTAGATTTCCCCGCAATGCTGCGAGCAGAGACTCCAAACATTACCTTGCTCTCTCTCCAAGGATGCTGTCTGACCCGCTATGATCTCCAGCATTCGTTGTTTTCAGTATCTATTTTAAGACAGCAGTTTATTTACGGGAAGAGAGTGACTGTTCAGAAGACGCGGGCCTTGCTCGGAGGCTTTTGAATACTCATTGAGTGAAATTGCGACGCCTGCTCTCGAACCTTTTGGATTGGTCTGTCTCACACACTCTCCGCTCTCGAAACGGGTTAGCACCTGAAATGTTAACAGTTGGCGCGGGGAAGCTGTATGAAGACGGTGGGCTTGGCGGTGATCGGGAGAAAGGCGGAAGGGAAAGCCTCTAGCCACTGCCCTTCCAGCAGCTTCAATAGGCAGAACCCGGCGGACCAGCACCAAAACTTGCAATGGCTGCAAATCCCAGCTGCTGACTCTTGAGGTGACCGGAAGTCAGCGATACTAACACCCCTTCCTCCTCATTAAACAACTTTTACCGGTCAGAAGGTGAGACCTCCAGCTGATTTCCGTAACCGAATACGTGCTTGTGAGCGAGAGCGCATGTGCTAGTTTTCACCTTTCCCTTCCCCCATCGGAAATACGGTTCCTACTATCTCGGTTACTTTGAGCCTGGTGGCGGTTGGACTTAGAACGTTGGCCCGGGCCTCGAGAGCGTCTCGGTCTCGCAGCATGTCCCGTGTATTGGGCTTTGTCTCGGCGCTGCTGCTGCGGGCGGTGTACCGGGCCTCGGCAGTCGAGGCCTGCCGACAACTTAGAAACCAACGGCCTCTTTCTTGGGGTGAGTCAGAAGGGTTGGAACGTTAACTCTATTTTCTCTCCAGAGATGTCTGCCGAGTTTCTCCAGCAGTTTCTGTTTCTGTTTGTTTCGGATCACCATGTTCAATTCGTTCCATATTTTAGCCCTAACTACGGGCGGGGCGAGCGGTGTGTGGTGTTGGAAGCGAGTGGATCGTTTTCTTTTTCCCCACTGGGAAACGTTAAAAGCTGTGTGGACTTGATGAATATCTTGGCTCGACGTTTCAATCCATGCACTTCAGCACATTGTCCAAACTGCCATTCCCATTAGAGCAAAAAAGCAAAGTATTGCGGATGCTGGTAATTTGAATTAAAATAGAAAATGCTAGAGAAACTCAGCGGATCAAGTAACATCTGTGGAAAGAGAAACAATTAACGCTGGTCGGGATTAAAAGTGTACCCATTCACCTTCAGATGGCTTCCATGCTGGAGACTCTTGGACAGGGGCCTCCTTTTCATACAATCATCTAGGAATCCAATCGCTGAGATGATCTTCGAGAAAAGCTTCCACAAATGTTTCCTCAGCAATATCACACTGCTTCTTGTTACTGAGCCAATTTTGAGTCTACTGCTACTCTGTTTGTTACATGGGCTCGAACTTAGACAAACAGTATGGGTCTTTATCCATGTCTGCCACATCAACTGCATTACCCTCATCACCCTTTCCATAGCTCATTAAAACCTGAAGCAAATGTAGTTAAACACAATTTACCCATCTCAAATCCTTTCTGGCTGTCGTAGAAACAAGCAGCAAGAGTTTGCTATTTGGCTTTTGAGTCTGCTCTGCTGTTTAATGAGATGGCAACAACCTTCTTCTTCCCCTCCCCCCGAACCCCAGTAATCTCACCCACTTGAGTAACAAGAATCATCAGCTTGTGTCTTGAAAATATTCAATGACCCTATTCAAGCACCGTTTCAGGAAGTATCCTTAAGGCGCTCAACCCTCAGAAAAATTTTGTCTCATATCTGTTTTAACTGTGATGTCCCTTATTTTTAAACAGTGACCTCTAGTTCTTGATTCTTCTGTAAGAAATACCCCCTTCACATCTAATCTGATTTTGGAGGTGCTGGTGTTGGACTGGGGTGGACAAGGTCAGAAATCAAATGACACCAGGTTATAGTCCAATGGGTTTATTTGTTTGAATATAACTTGGTGTCGTGTGATTTCTGACCACATTTAATTTGACAAGACCCTTCAAGGTATTATACTTCTGAATCAATCACTTCTTTGCTTGAGTAAGACGAGTAACTTCTTACTCAATGTTCCGTCTAAACAACATTGTTGCGTATCTGTTTGGAAGTTCTATGCATGCCAACAGTTTTCACAACATTGAATTCCAGTTTCAGAACCTGCTGCCACACAGACCTTTCACGTTTTGAGCAATGGAAAAAATGGAGGGAATGGTGATCTTATTCTAGTAAATTCCATTGGATATAAGCCTAGCCTGTCCAGACTGTTTTCTTAAAGAAAACCATCAGCCCTTTCCAGATATTAGTCTAGTGAACCTGCTCTTAACTGCTTCCAATGCATTTATGTCCTCCCTTAAATAAGGACCAGTGTTGTACATAGTACTCCAGACGTAATCTCATCAATGTCCTGGAAAACTGAAGCATAGCCTCCCTTTTTTATTCCATTTGGTTTTTTTAATCACTTGCTGCATCTGCATACTAACCTTTTTGTGATTTAAACATGAGGACACCCAGGCAATCTCTCACTTTTCAGAATGGTTTTTTTTTCAGTATTCCTGCCAAAATGGACAATTTTACATTATACTCCAATTGCCAGATATTTGTCCATTCACTTAACCATTCTATATCTTGCTCATGTCCTCTTTACAATTTACATACCTGGTTTACATTGTCATCAGAAAATTTGGTGATCATATCTCCCATGACTTCATGGGGTGGTGGGGGGGCAATGGCCTAGTGGTATTATCGCTGGACTGTTAATCTAGAGACCCAGATACCATTTTGGGGACCCAGGTTCAAATCCCGCCACGGCAGATGGTGGAATTTGAATTCAGTTTAAAAAAAACTCTGGAATTAACAGTCTAATGATGACCATGAATGCATTGTCGATTGTCAGGAAAAACCCATCTAGTTCTTTAGGGAAGGAAACTGCCATCCTTACCTGGTCTGTCCTACATGTGACTCCAGACCCACAGCAATGTGGTTGACTCTCAACTGCCCTCTGGGCGATTAGGAATGGGCAATGAATGCTGCCCAGTCAGTGACACCCTCATCCCATGAAAGAATAAAGGACAAGTCATTTGCATAAGTTGTAAGGATTGATGTCTCATTACTGATCCCTATAGTGTACTAATTACATCTTGACAGCCGAAAAAGGTACATTTATGCCTACTCTTCATGTTTGCTAGCCAGTCACTTGTCCTTGCCAATATGTTACCCACATACTATGAGTTTCTGTGACAACAAGGTGCAGGGCTGGATGAACACAGCAGGCCAAGCAGCATCATAGGAGCAGAGAGGCTGACGTTTCGGGCCGAGACTCTTCTTCAGAAAAGGGGGAGGGCAAGGGGGTTTTGAAATAAATAGGGAAAGAGTGGGAGGCGGATAGAAGAGGGTTAGAGGAGAGGATAGGTGGAGAGGAAACAAACAGGTCGAAGAGGCGGGGATGGAGCCAGTAAAGGTGAGT